AGGGGTGTCATCCGCTTCCGCCCGCCACGTGCTCCCCCACCTCTTCTCCCTCACTCTCTGTCTCTCGGGAGGAGCGGAGCGGAGCGCGACTGGAGCGAAGCTGTCCAAGGGAAGTCGAAACGGTTGTCAACGCGTTATGAAAGGAAACGGGAGACGAACCGACGGGAAAGAAGACGAAAGGCAAAGGCAAAGGCATGCATCGAGGGAGGGAGGGAGGAGGAGGGGAAGGAGAGAGGGAGAGGGTGAGGTTGTACCTTCCTTCTCTGCTAAAAAATTTTTCCATCCCATGCCATCCCATCCTCGTGTGTGTGTGTGTGTGTGTGTGAAAATTGTAGTAGGTTGTAGATAAACATCGGGGGAAAGGCACAATGGTGGTCGTACACGGTCCGTGGTCTGTGGCTTCCTCCTCTCAAGTCTCCTTGCCGCAGATCATGGAAAGGAGGTTGCGAATGATGAGGGCCTTCTCCGGGTCCGTGAACTTGACTCCTTTGGCCTCGAGTGTGTTGATGGCGTCCTCCGTCATCAGCACAGCCCCCGTCACGATGAGCTGCCGAGCCTTTACCATCGCCTCCGCCTGCTGCCGCATGAGCATGGGCTGGGCGATCTCCGGGGCGTAGGACAAGTCCGTCAGCACGCAGGACGTGATTCTCACCCCGCAGAAGTTCACCTTCTCCTGCATCAGCCTTTTCATCTCCTCCCCGATCGCAAAGCTCTCCGACTTGAGGCTGTGGGGGTTGCGCTCGTCCGCCTCGTAGGGGTACCTGCTGCACACCTGCTTCAGCACGACCTCGAACTGGGACATCATGAACTTGATCCTGTTGCTCACGCTCAGCACTGCGGCCTCGACGCCCTCCACCCTGTAGTACATGGCCCCTCCGACCAAGATTGGGTTGGAGTTCACGTCCAGGCACTTGACCCCGGGATAAGGCGTCTCCCTGACGTGGTTCTTCAGGTTCATGTGCGTCACCTTCCTCCCCACGACATTGATGCAGTACAAGCCAGGCTTCTTGATCACTGCGGTGGTCTCCCCCCAGTGCTGCACGAACACCGACGTGTTCTCCTTCACCACAACGCACGATCCGCAGTTCACATGAGGGATCAGGACAGAGATGCAGCACGACTTGAAGTTCGGGCAAAAAAGGCTTCGGTTCTCGCTCTCCGGCCTGTCGTGAGCAAAACCACCACCACCACCACCTAAATAAGAAGCTGATGGTGATGGTGATGATGGGGATGCATGATGATGGGGATCTTGGTGGTGGTGTGGGGTCGTCATCCCAGCCACTGGCTTGGGGGGAACCATCTCGACGACGTGATGGTGTGTCGGTGGTGATGCATCGCTGCCGGCCACGGGGTTCTGCACGTACGATACCTGCTGCAACTCCTCGTACTTTTTTTGCAATACGATGAATTGATGATGATTGAGAAGAAAATGGGAGGAGGAGGAGGAGGAGGAGTCAGTTTCTTTTTCTTTTGCGGCGGCATTGTGCTGAAGGTAATTCCATTACCTCTCCCTCTCCTCCCGTGTTGTTGTTGGACATGGTCATGGTCATGGTCGCCAGCAGCTTGAAAGGGACCCCAAGGTGGCGTCTTGCTGGATGTCTCGGTTCGAGTTCGAGTGTAACGAAACCGCGTAGAGTCCGAAGAGCAAAAGCGTCGCTTCACTTCGCGCCTTCCGCTTCCGCTTCCGGGTGAGTCACATCCGGAGAAGAACCACGTGATCGTCCAGGTGACGGAGACGAAGACGAGGACGAGGAAGGAAGCAATGCATTGCTTGTCGTGGAAGGAAGCAATGCATTGCTTGTCGTGGAAGGAAGCAATGCATTGCTTGTCGTGGAAGGAAGCAATGGATTGCTTGTCGTGGAAGGAAGCAATGGATTGGATTGGCTTTCGAACCCAAACTCGGCGCGCGCGCGCCAAGGCCAGTGGGGCCGGACCCACGGGGTCGCCGCGTCACACCCCCTCCGTAGGAAAACTTACTTCATATAGAGAACAACGCTGAATCAGCTCCAGCGCACGTGACGCGACTTGCTAACACGGCGATTTCTACTCTGAGGCGAGAATTCAAATTCTTTCCATTTTTCTCGTTGTGTTCGCTCGTGTTGAGATTCCCTTGTTATTCTTTTATCGTTTTTTTTATCTTGAAATGGCGCGGCATCTGGAAATCCACAGAGAGAGACGAGACGAAGACGAGACGACCGCGCACAAGAGAGAGAGAACGACGACGACGAAGACGAAGACGAGGTGAGCGACGAGCGACGAACGAAAGGAAATGGACGTCTCCTGAACGAAGAGATTCTCTCTCTCTCTCTCTCTCTCTCTCTCTGTTTTTTTTTTCTTCTTCTTCTTCCTTCTCTCTTTCTCTCTCTCTCTCTCTCGGTTTTTAGAAGGGCGAGAAGGGATTGATTGCTTTTTTCACTGGACTTGACTTGGATTGACGACGAGTGGAACCGTTGACGAGGTGCGTAACCGTCGCGAGCGTTTTCTTGTGGGGTTCGTCGTTCGCTCGTCGTGATTCTGAAAACCGGTACCTTTTCTTCTTCTTTTTGAGCTGACCTCTCCTCTTTCTCTCTCTCTCTCTCTCTCTCTCGTTTCATTCATTCATTCATTCATTCATTCAATCATCATCACCAGCATCGAGAGATAGATATCATGTACGCGTCCCCGACGACCCCTTGGGGGTTCCAGGCGGCGGGTGCGATGAACTTGAACGACCCAGCGGCGGCGGGGAACCCCCAAGGGGCGAGCGCCGGTGGTGGACCCGGACCTGGGGTGAGCCAGGCCCAGCAGCAGGCCCAGCAGCAGGCGTTGGCGATGAGTGCTGCGGCGTTGGCGATGAACCCGGCGTTCCTGATGCAGCAGCAGCAGCAGCACATGGCCGCCGCGGCGGCGTTCTCCCCCCTGAACCCCGCGGTGAACTTTGGCCTCCTGCAGCAGATGATGAAGCAGCAGCAGGAGCTCCAGCAGGAGGCGGCGAAGAAGCCCGCGGCCAAGAAGGTCGGGGCCCTCAGCGGCCTGATGAACCAGCAGCAGCAGCAGCAGACCACCCAGTGGCCCCAGATGGCCCAGGCCTCCGCCGCCCAGAAGCACCACCACCCCGCGGCCGCCATGGCTGCCGCCGACCACCACCACCACGGCAGCAGCCAGGCCGACGCCGGCGTGAAGATCGAGACGCCCCTCGGAGTGTCCCCCACGAGCGCATTCACGACCTGCATCCCGGGCAAGAGCCTGGAGAAGTCGGCCCCCATCGCCATCCCAGCGAGCGGAAGGAGGCCGTCCGCCGAGCTGGCCTACGGCTCCGTCCCCATCCCCGAGAGGACGACCGGGTTCTCCGTCGGGAGCGCCAGGAGGAACAGCAAGGGCCACGGCTCCCACCCCCTGAGGCCGCACAGCGCCGGGGTGATGGAGAAGAAGCAGGCGAGCGCCAAGTTCAGGGGCGTGAGGCAGAGACCCTGGGGCAAGTTCGCCGCGGAGATCAGGGACCCTTCCAAGGGCTGCAGGGTCTGGCTGGGAACCTTTGACACCGCCGAGGAGGCGGCCTTGGCCTACGACCAGGCGGCCAGGGAGATCAGGGGCGCTGCGGCCATCACCAACTTTCCCCTCGGCGCCAGCGCCGGGATCGCCTCGGCCTCGAGCGGGCGGACAAAGGCGAGCAGCGGACTGAGCGGCAGCACCTCCCGGGACTCCGAGGACTCTGGCGACACCATCAGCGCCGAGGAGAGCGCCGAGAGGACCAGGAGGCTGATGGCAGAGGACGAGCAGATCGCCTCGGAGGCGCAGGCCCTCCTTCTGCTCCAAGAGTCATGAATGAACGAATGGGGGCGGGGGTGTTTGGGTCAGGGGGAGCGCGGAGGCAGGTGCGCTGCGTGGTCAGTAGTATATTGCACAAACAAAATATAACGTATTGAAATTTTACAACAATCATACCTTTTTTTTTCTTTTTTTTTGAGAACAAATCGATCCAAGGGCAGAGGAGGAGGAAGATGATGCTAAGAGCCACAAGACCTCTGGATGTGTGCGAGGGCTCGAAACGAAAGGAGACCAAAGGAGACGACGACGACGACGACGACGACGACGACGACTTTCCGGCAGGACTGAGTCGTCTTTTCTCTCTCTCTCTTTTCCTCCTCGTTCGCCCTCGTGCTTGGCCATTTGTTGATGATGAGCTTGACCTCCTCGGTTCGTAGAGGCCGAGCCGTAGCTGCAAGGGCCTTCATAGCCGTGCCGGCCAGAGGAACCTCCCGCAGTGTCCCCGATCCACGCCCCTGCCCCACTCCCTGTAGCTGGGTGGTGAACGTCAGCTCCCGCCCTGCTGACCCTCGAGCAACACCAGCGTTAGGGAGGGCAGAGGTGGTGCTGCCGGTCGCGAGCTGTGACGTAGTGTCAGACGTTTGGTCGGCAGACCAACGATTGATGGGGTCTGCGTCGTTGAATTCGTCGAACTTGCGCTTGAACGCCTCCACCTGGTCTCGACATTCCTCCTGGTCGAACCTCCCCGACACCATTATCCTCCCATCGCTGGCGTCTCTCCTCGTCCACCAGTGTAGGGTCGCCACTAAACCGGTGGGATAACATAAGTCAGTATGATTTGCAGTGGCTTCGAGGAGCCAGGGGTGCGAGTTGGACGAGAGGACTTGTAGAGGGGCAGCCCGGGGAGGTCACCTTGATGTTTTGCAGTGGCTTCGAGGAGCCAGGGGTGCGAGTTGGACGAGAGGACTTGTAGAGGGGCAGCCCGGGGAGGTCACCTTGATGATTTGCAGTGGCTTCGAGGAGCCAGGGGTGCGAGTTGGACGAGAGGACTTGTAGAGGGGCAGCCCGGGGAGGTCACCTTGATGATTTGCAGTGGCTTCGAGGAGCCAGGGGTCGGCCGCCTCGTTCGCGGCTTTGGCGTTACGCTTTCTCTCTTTCTCTCTCGACCGTGTATAATTAACGTCTCTCACAGAACCTTTGTCTCCCGGAGCAAGAGGAGAGGCGACTGTAGTTTCGCCTCATCCGCCTCATCAAGCTCTCGGCGGGACTCGAACCCGCAATCTTTTGATATCTTTTGATGTAAGAAGATATAGAAGTCAAACGCGTTATCCAATTACGCCACGAGAGCATGTGATTTCTACTCTCATTTTACACTATATAAAGAGGAGGCGACCTCACGCGCGGACGCCAGGGCAGGCGAGAGAAGGAGAGGAGAAAGGAGAACATGCCCTCGCACACGATCGATCGATGGACTGGGAGGGTGTGACTTGGTCGGGGTCCAAACCCACCACCGCCCCAGTCCTCCTCCTCGTCGCCGTCGAGCTCGTTCTCCCTCGCCGTCAAAAAAAAAAGGAGTCAGTCAGTCACCACCTCGAGGGAGTGGCGACGACGACGACGACGCCAGACCAGGCAGATATGATAGAGATACACACCCACATCCAAAGACAGAGAGACACGACGACGGACGTGTCGCTCGGACCGCGCAGCTCCGTCCTCTTCGACAAAGTTCTAGCCACTTGGCACAGGCTGCCAAGGTAGGTGTTGGTCGCGAGGAACGCGGAGTGCGTCGTGATGCTCGCCACCAAGGTTTGCTGGGCTTCGTTCGGAGCTACCTGCGCACGACGACTCTGGTGGCCAAGAAAGGTCAATTCGTTCTTGTTCCCAACAAAAGAGACACCCGCCCACTCCGACTTTGAGGAGAGCTGCTGCTGCTGCCTGAAGGAAGGACCACGAATTATCGTTCGCCTCTCCTCTGCGTCTTCCTTACCCGTGTCCTGCGTTCATTCCTTCCCTCCAGAGCATTGGCATTGGCTCCCACCCATCGCAAACGCTAAAAGAAGTAGGAATTAGGAAGAAGGAAGAAGGAAGAAGTGTGCTCCCTATCCTCTCTCTCTCTCTCCCTCTCTCTCCCTCTCTCTCTCTCTCTCTCCTTCAGAGACACAGACGGAGCAGAGCAGGCAGGCAGGCAGCGAAAGAGAGGGAGGGAGGATCACCTCCAAGCACGATGATGAACCACCCTCTCTCCCTCCCTCTCTCCCCTCTCCCTCTCTGTCATTGTTGCCATCATCATCCCCAATCACTCCTCACTTTCCCTTCATCCCAGATCTCCTCTCTCTCTCTCTCCTTCAGAGACAGAGACGAGGGCAGACACAGACGGAGCAGAGCAGAGCAAACACGAAGAAGACAAAACAAAAACAAAACAACAAAACCACGAAGCGGGCGCGTTTCTACGACTCGAGACCTTTCCGTGGACCCCAACATCACTACACCTTCAACCCTTCAACCACAACGACATCATCATCATCATCCACTTGGTAAAGGGAATTGATTGACTTTGTGGTGGTTTCTTTCTTATTATTATGGCGGCGACCCCAAACTCGACCCCGAACCCGACGGCGGCGCCTCAGCCGTTCTCGGGTCCGGTGCTGTCGTCCTGGGACGCACCGCCTTCGCTGGGTCCCGCGGGAATGAGCTTGGACGCTTCGACGCAGCAGCAAGAGCATCCTGTTCCTCCTCCTCCTCCTCCTCCTGTTCCGTCGTCGTCGTCGTCGTCGGGATCGGCTTCCAGAATGGTGGTGTCCCAGCTGAGCGGCGCGCTGACGCGAAGCGCGGCGTTCGCGGAAGCGGTGAGGGGGGGGGACCTGGGGAAGGCGGTGGAGGTCGTGGCCCAGGAGGCGAGGCCTCTGGTGTCGTCGGCGCTTCAGGCCAGGCAGGCGGCCCAGCAGGCCCAGCAGGCCCAGGCCGTGGTGCCCCTGCCGCTTCACAACTTTCCAGACGTCCCGGTGGACAACTTTGACCTTCCGGGGTTCAACATGGACCCCTTCGGGGTGGACCTGATGCTCAGCAACAACGCCGCGGGGCTTCCCACCATGTACCACCAGGTAGAGGACCAGCGGATGCCGTCGTCGTCGTCCGACCAGCGGATGATGCCGTCGTCGGCGCCTCAGCAGCCCCTGTCCACCTCCTCCCCCCCCCTGTCCGCGGAGGGCATCAGGAGGCAAGTCCAGTCCGAGGTGAACAGGCTGAAGGTCGCCTTGCTCGCCCTGGAGCAGAAGACGTGCAACTTGTGCATGCAGAAGAGCTGGAGCTTGCAGAGGCTGCCGTGGAGGATCAAGGTGAAGAAGGCCACCAACTTTGCGGACTTGCTTGGCAAGCTCAAGGAGCTCAGGAAGGGCATGGTCCCGTTCACTGCGAGGAACGCTGACCTGGACCAGTACCTCAACCGGCTGTCCCCGACCAGCATCAACGCGCACAAGCTCTCGAGGTGCCTGGAGGACTTCAAGGTCTGCATCGCGAAGAACTTTCCGGAGCACGAGGCCCCCCCGCTCCGGTACGAGCTGGCAAAGATAGCGAAAGCGATTGACGACACGGGGAGGCACGGCATAGAGGTCTTCACCAAGCTTCCCCTGTCCGAGATCTTCGCCAAGCACCCGGACGTGGCCTCCTCCCTCAAGGTCCTGCTGCAGAAGCAGAAGCTGGAGGTGGTCTCCAAGCTCGCCGAGCTCAACTCGGAGGCTCACGTGGTCGCCGGCGGAGGCAACTCTGCGATGGCCAGGCCAACCGTCTCCCTCCGCGAGGACGACGAGCAGGCCACGGACATGAGCGACTCGGACTAGGAGGATGGGCGAGGGGGGGAAGGGGGGAATGAGGAGGGAGGGGAGCTCTCTTCTCTCTCATCGTTGTTATTCGCCAAGCACCCGGACATGAGCGACTCTGACTCGGGGACTAGGGGGGAGCGCCCTTCTTCTGGTGACACGAAAACGAGAGAAAGCAAACCATCACACTATGCCTATTCTTTACTTTTTTTGATAAAAAAAGAACATATACAACATATAAACCCCCTAATAATACACCTATTATTGTGCTGCTGCTGCTCCCTTCCGACGAACGCCGTCGTTGATGACATAAGAGCTTTGTTGTTGTTCGTCAAACCTAACCCGTCGTCGTCGTCGTCGTCAAATCGGGCCGACAGGCCGACGTCCGACAGGGGCTCGAGAAAGCAAACCATCACACTATTCTATTCTTTACTTTTTTTTGATAAAAAAAGAACATATAAAAAAACACCCTAATTACCTTATTATTATTGTGCTGCTACCTTGCTAATCATACCAATCACATGACGTGATTCACATCACGAACGCCGTCGTTGCTTTGCTTTGCTGACTTAAGTTACTCAAGAACTTTAACTTACTTTTGATTTTTTCAAGTTGTTTTCGTCGTCGAACCGAGCCCGGCCTCCTCCTCGTCGTCGTCGTCGTCAAATCTCAACGACGACAGGCCGACGTCCGACAGGGACTCGAATATGGGCAGTCTCTGGGACTTTGTCCTGACCGGCTCCGCGCGCTGAGACGTTCCAGGCTGGGGCTGCTCCAGTCTCGGGAAGGCAGACACCGTCCTCTTCACCTTTGCTGCGGCTGCCCTCTTGGAGTCATCCAGCAGGAGCGCCGACCACGTGTCGTAGCTCTGGTTGTTCCCAGGCGCCTTGGCGGCGGGCTTCTCCGGCGCATTGGCGGGCTGCTGCTCCGGGGCTTGCTTGCTCGCTCCGGCCCTTTTGGACTTGGCCTGGGGCTGCTGCACGTCCTTTGACGAGACGTAGTGGATGAACCTGCACCGGGTGCCGTAGGGACAAGTCCCGTTGGTGGCAAAAGTTCGACAAATCTCCGTCTTGTACTTGGGGTGGCGAGCGATCGGCCTCAGCTCGCTCTTGCCGTGCGCGAACTGGCACTTGCCCCCGTACCTGCAGCTCCCAGTCTCCTCCCACGACCTGCAGAGCTCGGTCTTGTACAGGCTGTGCATGCTCACGTTGGAATTCGAGTTCACCTTGACGGTTCCGCCCTTGCCCGAGGGGACCACCGGGCACGTCTTCAAGCCGCTGCTGTTGCTGTTGGTCGTGCTGCTGCTGCTCGACCTCTGCCTCTGCCTCGGGGACCTCGGGGAGGTCACGATCGGGCTCCCGTTCAGGTCCAGGGCGGACAGGCTCGCAGTGGGCACGACCTTCGAGGTGTTCTGCTGCACGGCAGTCCGCGGCAGCAGAATCTCGCTCTGGGTCCTCGCCACCGGGCCCGGCATCGCGAGGTTCTCCGCGGGCTGCGTGACTGGGCCGCCGTTCTTGCCCCACTTGCCCATCTCCTGAGCCCTCAGCTGCCCCCCCCTGATGCTCCGCTGTAGGAGGTCGTCCGCGCCAGCCACGTTGCCGCCGCCGAGGTCCGCCATGCTGCTCGGCGAGGAGAACGCCCTGGCCGAGGACGCGGTCCCCTGGCCCAGGGTAGCGGACCAGCTCACGGATCCCGTGGCCCCGAGGTCCCTGCCATCGAAGGCCGTCATCAGGCCCCCGCTCCCCCCCGCGGACCAGGTCCTGCCGAAGAAGAGACCCTCCCCCACCGCCTGACCGGACTGGCTCCCGTCTCGCACCGGCGCCGCCGCGCCCTGGCCCAGGTACCTCTTCTCGCTGTTCTGGCTCGGCCGACCGGTCCACGCCTGGTGCCCCCCGCCCGGCTGCTCCGAGCCGTTCCCTCCCGTGCTCACCGCCGCGGTCTTGTTCTTCGTCATCTCGTCGTCCTCCCTGGTCCACATCTCACGCTGCCATGCATGCTCGCTGGGCGCCCGAGCGCGAGCGAGGTTGAAGCGAAGGCGAAGGCGAAGGCTCTTCCGTTTCCGTAACGCTCGCCCTCTCCCTCGGCAAAACGAAGCAGAAGCAGAAGAGAAAGAGAAAGAGAAAGAGAGAGAGAGACGCGCGCGCGCAAGAGACGCACGCAGGTCCTCCGCACCAGTTGACACACACACCAACACTCTCCCTCCTTTCGCTCCTTTCGCAAGCGCCGAGGCGTTACAAAAAATATCGCGAAAGAAACTCAAACCTAAAACTCAAACCCTCGCCGTCCACTCCTCATCAGAGGTTGTCGTCATTCTTCATGCGACGTTAGTTTCTCAGAAGTAAGTTCTCGGGAAGAAAGGAGAAGAAGAAGAAGAAGGAGGGGGAAGAGACAAAGAGCCGCATCGGTCCGTCTGCATGGGTCCAGGACGAGAAGACCAATCTCACGCATCATTCATGCTAACAGTATCAAAAGCTTCGGCAATCACTATATTGCCATCACCACGAGCCAAGGCACCAGCGTCATTCAAGTTACT